CCTGACGGTGAATCAACACCAAGAACATCAGATATTAAAGAGAAATATGTGTGCCATTTGGAGTCTCATATGAAATGAACAAAATGTTAAGTCATGTGTAGGGCTGAACGATTAATCGATTTTAAATCGAAATCGCGATTTGAAATGATGCAATTATCAAATCGCAAAGCCTGCGATTTTTTTTAAGGTTTTTTTTGTCAGTCATCCACACCAATCAGAAGTGCTGTGCTCCACATGTACCAGTCATTGTTAACCAATCAGAAGTGGCCCATGATAGTAGGTGATAGACAGATTGATCCAATCACCTGCCAAGTATTTTTGAAATACTTTTCCAAATGGCTTTGAGGTTAGTAATGCTCCATCACATGTTTCTATTACAGGGTGAATCTTAAACTGAAGCTTGACTTTAAAGCAACCCAACGGAAGTTTCATGTAAGTTTAGTTCTTTCACTCGTAGCTCGGGCTGCGGGGGTGCTAGAGACGGGAGCACGTTGATACGACCTTCCTAGCCGGAGATATGGCCGCATTTTACAATAAACTTCTGTTGGGTCGCTTAAAAACAAATATCGCAAATCGAATCGCAATCGCAATATCTGTCAGAAAAATTGCAATTAGATTATTTCCCCAAATCGTGCAGCCCTAGTCATGCGTGTTTCTGCTGTCACCCAACAAGGCCCAGGTCCGCGATGAGTTTGAGATCCAGCCGTATCTGTTTGATCTGACCCTTAGTGGGCTCGAAGGCAGAGTGGAAGGAGCCTCCGTATCCTCCTTTGGCCACCTTCAGACGGTCACCCTCAGCATTCAGGTCACCTTGGAAGGACAGGGTTGAAAAGTAACATTACGTTTTCAGTTGCTTTGCCTCTCCTATCTGATACTGATGTTCTGCCACATATGATGTTCTTACCTCCATAAATACAACAATGAAAATGCATTGGACAAAATGTAGGAGGTGTACAAAAGTTTTACATACCAACTATTTTGCCATCATCAGCAGTGACTGTGACACCAACAGGAGCAAAGATCTCCTTGTCCTCCCCCCTATCTCCTTTCAGTGCTCGGGCGCTGTCAATAAATACAGTTCACACACTCAATACACAAAACAGCCCTTAGCATCTGTGACATGACATGTTTACATTTTTTTTTTTGTCAATTTATTGAACATGTCAGAAACAAACAACAATAATAATAATATCTATATTTATTTTTTTTAAACGTTCAAGGTACAAAAAAAGAAAAAATAATTCTCAAATAGTCTCCGTCTCTGTCATGTTCAACAGGGGCAAGAAGAAGCTTAAAGCAACTTTTCTGGTCCTACCCCCTCTAGCGTACATTTTTCTTGAAGATAAAAGATTAGGTCACCGTCATCAGCGTCATGTTCGTCATGTTGTAAACAAATATATATATATATTTTTTTTTACAAAACAATCAAAAATAAATAACTTTTACAATTACAAGAAATAAAAAGTATGAGTTTACAGGTCCTGCTCATAACCATTCATGATTTGGCTTCTAAATAATAGTTTTAGTTTAGATAAAGATTTAAGTCGTCAGCTTATGTCAATGATTGGTGAATGAGCGCCACAACATATATTCTGATGTGACACTATGAGAGAGGAAACTTAATTTGTAGAAACAAACCTGCTGTTGGCTCCTGCTCCGGCCATAAAACGTTTCTGGGGGTACTTGTCCATGACCTTCTTCAAGGTCACTTTTTTTGAAGCCACTACCCAAACATCCCCCCCGTTTCCTCCATGTCCCCCGAGACGGGGAAGACCCATTCCCCCACTGCCTCCTCGGACGTACAAACGTAGGTTATCCACAAAGTTTCCATACTGTAGGAGGCAGAGAAATACAGTGATGAGATCTAAATGTGTGGGAGAAACTTTAGAGACAAAGCCATTCATAATAAACAGCTCCCTTCAAAACGGGTAAGCTAAACTACTGAAATGTTAATATTTTAATAAACAACATTTACTGAGATGTGGCAGCATTGTGAGAAAGGGAAGACTGGCCGAAAGAGATACTGTAGCATTACACAATGGCCATACTCAGTTACTTTTAACTACTAGTAATAATGCGAGTGATTACAAAAACAAAAAATGCAGGTGTTTATTGTATTGGTTTAGTAAAAGATCCCAAGCCGTTTTACTTTTTAAATAAAACACAACAATGGGAAGTCTTAGGCATGTTTAACTCTTAAGTCTAGATGTGAATGAACTACTAAAAGTACTTTTTACTTACAGCATCTGAGTTTGCATGTAAACACATCCAACAGGATTTGATAGCATTGTTTAGTCAAACGATACATTAATAGTTTATTTCAATAATGAGAAAATGAAATCACCAATTAGGAAAATAACAGAGATGACACACACTATTTCCAAGGACAGACATGAATTTTCATACATAAAAATATATCCTTATTGTCATTGCATTGCTAGCATCATATAAAGATTAAACGTTTAGGTAAAATATGCAAATAAAGGCTACAGAGGCACTGCAAGTCAGTCAATGTTTTGACAGCAGTTAGCAAGAGGTAGCTAACTGCCAATGTCACCATAACAGTGGTTAGTAAACAGACACTTTTGAAACGTTAGCATGTTATTTATATAATGACCGCTACAGTACTTACTTTCCGGAAGAGGATTCTACTTAACTGGACCATCTTCAGGGGCGTTTATTGCCACTTTTGTGTTGTTGACTGAGCTAGCGGCTAGGTTCACATGTGTTTGTATGAAGGACCGGAAGTGTTTAGGTTATCTCTTAGCCCATTGGATCATGAGGCAAATAGGCGGGTTTCCGCAAGGCTGAGTGACAGCTGCTTTTTGTGCATATATATAAACAAAACAATGACGTGAGGTTCTCGTGAGATTTAATGCTGTTGAATCACAAGATTTACCACAACAACCCTTTACCTAATATTTTGAATCTATTGTTGTATAGAAGTTGCACATGTCATCTGCTTTTTTTAAATAAGCTACCAGCCATATAATAATAGTGCTATTTAGGCGTTGTGAAATGTCTATAAGGATTAAAGGTAGGCGGTTTTGTCAGGAGGAAAACTGAGGGTGGTTTCCTCTCTATACAGTCCAAATGTAGCCTACATGTTTAAGTATATGGATAATGTTTAATTGGTTATAGGCTTATTCTGAGAAAAGCAAAATCACTAAGATGCTGTCCAACAATTTCATATTATGGGATTTAAAACATATATCAACCCTTTAAATTATTGTCAAAAACAACCTTGTCCTGAGCAGTGGCCGTATCTCATTTCTGGGATTTCCCCTCCTTGACTCCTATCCTCGTGTCTTAGTCCGGCCCACAGGAGATGCGAGCGGAGGAGCCGAGGAGGGGAGCCAAGGAGAGAGGAGGGGAAGCAGCAGGCGGTTAGAGAAATGAGAACTCCTCTCCTCTGAACAGTCATTTTAAAGAGACGTCCATTAATGATGACAGGAGGCACAGCCCTCTGTCTGATGGACAGATGTGTTCATGATGACTTATATATTTACTCTGAATTCATTCACAGTGCGGTATAATGAGACAATAACAGGCTACAGATGCGGACACACACACACACACACACACACACACACACACACACACACACACACACACACACACACACACACACACATATATATATTTATATAAATATATACAATTTCAGAATCAAACAAGTATGAGAGCACTCTCATAATAACGTAACACTATCAGAGACTGGATATACAGAGGATTCGAGGAGTCGAGGAGGGGAAATCCCAGAAATTAGATACGGCCACTGTTGATGACCCTGTTTGTATTTTTACAGACTTGACCTTTCGCCGTCTAGTCAAGGTCAAGTCAGTCAACTTATTGTCAATCTTTCAGTTTTTGTGTTCAGATATACAGTGATATATGTTTGCATAATACAGCTCTGTTTGCAGTGTTGTAAAGTAACTAAGTAGGCTACATTTACTCAAATACTGTACTTAAGTACAATGCTGAGTATTAAAATGTGTTGCTACTTTGTACTGCTACTCCACTTTATCTGATTTATTTAAGACCTTTAGTTACTTTGCAGATTTGGATTAATGTTCGGAAATATAAAAACACTTAAATAAGACTTTAGTTACATCTGATGTAAAATTCACATATCCTGTTGTCAAAGATATTACATTTAGCTGCACCTTGCAGCTTTGATCAACACTTGAATGCATCAATAATTATAATCAAAACATAATATATATTATAGTACAATGGGCCAATCTGCATAATGAGTACTTTAACTTGAGGTATTTTAAGTACATTTTGATGGTAATACTTTTTTACTTTTACTTGAGCAACATTTGGTATGCATGACTTTTACTTGTAACAGAGTATTCTCTCTGGTATGCCTACTTCTATTTTAACTTTAGATCCAGATTACCTCTGCTGTTGTAATATGCAACCACCTGATTTTAAATGTATCTTGAGATCACAGCTTCCCTTGAAGGACCTCTCAGTGAGCAGCATGTCGGCGGCGCTGTGAGGATGAGGAGGCTGAGAGATGCTCTGATCTTCCGGAGCTCTTCTTCTCCGTGAACGCGCATGCCTGCCGGTGCAGTGAGATGCGCATGTGACGACAAAAGACCCGGCTTCTCTCTCACACACACACACACACACACACACACACACACACACACACACACACACACACACACACACACACACACACACACACACACACACACACACACACACACACACACACACACACACACACACACACACACACACACACACACACACACACACACACACACACTGCCGTCAAGCCCCACAGAAAATAACCCTCTCAGGCGAAGTTAACAGGCTGGCCAGACCTGAATAAACCAGGTCTGCTCGGATATAACTGCACCGAGGTAAGTAGCCTATGTGTGTATGTCGTGTGTCTCTTTGCATGTGTGTGTGTGTGTGTGTGTGTTTGTGTGATGACGAGAGAGGTTGGCTTATTATCTCATGCAGAAGCCCGGACAGTCGGATAGGTCCTCCCACCGGTGTCTGGCTATTTATACGGTTAGAACCGCAGCCGTGGGTCGTGATAACAGGACGCGGCTTGGACACAGAGATTCATCACAACGCGGTAAGAGGTGCTGTTCTTGGCCGAGTGTTGCCGGTGCCGGTGTGTGTTTGACCTAAATTATGCAATGACCGTGACATAGACGCTAGTCGCATGTGCCTTATTGGATGCATGCTGCAAGGACCGCTGCTCGGAGTCAGGAGTGTGTGGTGGGTGTGTAGTGGTGGGAGGCTTGAGCCCATGAGGATGATGTGGTAACAGACTGCAACATCATCCAGGTCCTCCACCAGCTTGTGCTGCAATAACATCCCCACATGTACTCATCTATGTATGCAACCTTGTTCTGGTTTCAAGTTGAAGGCCTGCACAAATTAAACGCACCTTTAAAACAGAACCTGCATTAAATCAGAAATAAAGAGCAATCCTGATTTATTTATTTTTGTTAAATAATTAACGGCAAATAAACTAATAATTGTTACTCTTTTGACGACATTTGACGTTAAAAGTGTAACATTTGGCCAAAGTTTCATTGTTTTCATTTGTTTTCCAGAGCCCACAATACTGAGTAGCCTATGCGAGTTCTAGAAAAGTATGGCCCTTCCTCTCATGCTGTACAACACGCACATGTAGGCACATGAATGGGCAGGGATCCAGTACAACAAACCAAAAACAAGCAGCAAACATTAAAATCAACATTTCTTATCATTTCCTATTTTAGTTGTGCATGTATTGTGTTATCCTTTCAGGTAAAGGACTGGTTTGGATGATTGGCACTGTAACGTTGCTATTAAAGGAGTTAAATTAAATTAAAGAAACACAGTGAATAAAGAACACAGACTTTTGCTCATTATTTACTCATGCATTTGGCAGCATAATGTCAAAAATATTTAAATTTCCTTGAGAAAAACATTTACAGCAAAGTTGTTGCATCATATATTTACATCCGGCAGAGACTACATACTGTAATTTAATCCCACTGTTCATTTGCTTTTTAAGACAGGAGATGCAATTAAAAGCCTACAAAATAAGCTAGTTATTGGTCCTTTAGGTTGGTATTTTTTTCATTTTACCAAACTGTTCCCTTCTGTTAATTGGTGGAAAATCTTGTTAAATGACAGTCTAATCTTGAATTTGAATACATTCATGTGGATGAGATGCACTGATTTAAAGGTGTGCACAGTGAAAGTTTCAGCAAAAAAAAAAACTGTTATGACTGTTTGTCAAATTGACCAGTGGCATGGAAATACCAGTATCAGCCTGCCAGCTGGGGGCACGGCCTTTTCCAAACAGGGCATGCAATTTGTGGAATCCAAGTGCTTTCAATGAAAAGGGTAAACAAGCCAGTGACCAGACAACAGGTTACAGACAGGTCAGACAGGGGGGATAGGGGGGTGTGCAGCAGGGATGGAGACAAGGGAGTTTTACCAGAAGTTAGCCATAGTTTTGGGTTGTAAGACAAAGGTGTTGTGGCCAGTAAGTAACAAAGTAAGTAAGACAAAGGTGTTGTGGCCAGTAAGTAACAAAGTAAGTAAGACAAAGGTGTTGTGAGTAGTGTTTTGGTTAGGGTTAGGGTTAAGTACAAAACTGGGGCGATAGGCACTGTTTGCTGTGTCTGGTGGGAATGTTTTGGCGGGAGTGAGTGTGGTGGTGTTGGTAGTGGTATGAGAGGAGGAGGAGTTCTGTCAGCATGCCAACACCACATTCTCACCCTGCTGCTGTTGAAAGGGCCGGTAAAGACATAAACAGGTCCAGTGGGATTAGGGCCTACTCGAGGAGTGATCATGGGGGATTTGCTGCCCGGCGGGCACACAATGGCACTGTCGTGTAACACACAAACACACACTGCACATGCTCAACTGCAAAGTTTAACAACAGACCCAAGCCTACATAAATCTGATTTGAACTCCCCTTTGTTTGGGAAGCCGCACCAGGGTTAACAGACTAGCCGTGCCGCAGGCCATGTTTGATATGACAGGGGGTGGGTTGACGTTGGTTGGACGGCAAAGAGAAAAGCTTGGGGCACGCTTTGTTGTGGCGGGGTGTTTCCACGTGTGTGAAGTCCCAGACAGACAGGGAGAGCTAGACTGTGTGTGAAAGCAGAATAACAGGATGAACAACAGTTTTTCCCCCATTCAGTGTGTGGGCACGAGTCAGCTGATGATAGTTGATGCCGACAGGATCTAAGCTAACACGAGACAACAACAACATAGGCAGACACAAAGACTGCAAGCCGGTTTGAACCTGTTCAAATAATGAGACTCAGGATAGATGCTTGGATGCATTGGGGGGACAAAGCACAAACGGGTCTCCGCTTTTAGTAGAGTACCGAATGGACATTTACAGAAATATTTATAGAACTTTCTTCTAATTTCTATCGTTCCTTTCTCAGTGCCGGCTCTGGCCCAGGCTGCAGCCATGCCTCTTCTGGAAGAGACCACTCTGCCACAAGAGCACCCACCCACTGTCCCTGTGGTCATTATAGGTAAACGTTTTGCACTTACCACCTGACCTTAAGTTGTTTGAATTCTTTCTCATTCTAATGTGTGTGATGCAATGCTTTGTGCTCTTTTGTGGTGCTTAACCAAATGTTTCCAATCTGTTTTTAGGCAATGGCCCATCTGGTATTTGTCTGTCCTACCTGCTGAGTGGACATAAGCCGTACCTTGATACAGCAACAGTTCACCCAAACCCGATACTATACAGGAAACTACAGGAGTCCAAGCAACTATCCATCACTGAACAGGCAAGAACATCTATGCATTTCTTGCACATGTACACATGATCACAGTCACTCTTACATGTCATGAAATTGACATTTTTGTTGTTGCAGGATCTGGAATATTTGAGCGAAGGTCTCGAGGGGAGGTCAAGGAACCCGGTGGCTGTGCTTTTTGACACACTTCTGCATCCCAATGCTGACTTTGGCTACGAGTTTCCCCCAGTCCTTCAGTGGAAGAGGGACAAGCAGCAACACGTCCCACATCTTGTTCTGGGGAGGGCAACGCCTGGAGGTGCTTGGCATGTAAGTTTCAGGTTCAGTCTACAACACCATTTAACTATCTATATTTTCTGTCAATGCTTTTGTTTTTGTCCGTCTCTGACCCTTCTCTTCTTTAACCAGGCAATGGAAGGCTCAATGCTGACTATTAGTCTTGGCATCTGGATGGAGCTTCCTGGGGTTAACTATAGGGACTTGACTAACGGGAAACACAGGTACTGAGAAAGGTTGATAGCAAAGACATGACTAAAGTCTCGGCGTCATTCTGTGCCACCTCTTACCTCATTGTCTTTCTCTTCTCTCTAGAGATGTAACCAGTGACAGAGCCACCCCAGAGGAGATCTCGTCCTATTACCGTAACTATGTGAAGCTTAAGGGCCTCCAAAATAATTTTGTTGACAACACCTACGTGACCTCTGTTCAGAAACTCTGCCGGGAGCAGGAGGGGGAAGGTCTGGAAAATAGGCACTCTGATCAAGGAGATGGAGGGGTGGGAGATGGTGGGAATCAAGGCTTTGAGGGTAATGGGGTTGACAAGGGAGGAGGGGGGACTCTTTGGGAAGTAAGGGGTTACCAGCAGGTGCAGAGCGACACTCATGTCCCCTTCTCTCTGTTTGCTGAAAATATCGTTTTGGCCACCGGTGCGTCCGATTCTCCGGTTCACTTAGGCGCAGAGGGGGAGGACCTTCCATTTGTATTCCACAGCATCTCAGACCTGGGTTTGGCCATAAGCCGGAGAAAACTGGATATGAACTCTGATCCAGTTTTAATCGTAGGTGCCGGTTTGAGTGCTGCAGATGCAGTTCTTTGCGCTTGTGGCAGCAACATTAGAGTGCTGCATGTCTTTCGTAAGAGCGTGGACAACCCAGACCTCATCTTCAAACAGCTGCCCAAGACCCTGTACCCTGAGTACCACAAAGTCTACAACATGATGTCCTCTCAGACCTACACTAACGTGGCTCCCTCCTCTGCTTCAGACAGACCCCAGGCAGTTAGTATTGCCTCCTCAGTATGTGCCAAGATGTGCCCAAAGCCTCAGTTTGCCGCAGGTAACATGGCTGGTACTGCAAGTGTCAGCCTGTTTCCTGTCTACACAAGTTTCCCTGAACACTGCGTGGTGTCCTTCCAGTCTGACATGACGTGTTTGCTGCAGGGGAACGACTCCCTCAAGGCATTCAAGATCTCCATGGTCCTAGTGCTGATTGGGACCAACCCAAACTTGTTTTTCTTGAAGGGGAACGGCCAGTACCTAGGTCAGGATCCAACAAAACCCATCTCCTGCACACAGAACCCCATTGATGTTCACCCCTACACTTATGAGTGTGCCAATGAACCAGGTCTCTTTGCCATGGGCCCGCTGGTGGGAGACAACTTTGTTCGCTTTTTGAAGGGTGGCGCTTTAGGCATCGCCTCGTGTCTTCTAAAGAGACTCAAGAAGAAAGAGAAGCTCATCAGCAACGGAGGGAATAACTTCATTTGAAACAGAATGGAGAAAAGAGCGGTACCCGTTGGTCCCATAGAACAGAATAAAAGCGCCCATACCAGCTGAAGCAGAAAACAAACATTTTTATGTTTAAATCATTTAGGCAGTTTTTTCATCAAAGCTAAGGAATTTGTACAACTTTCTGAGACCAAAAAGACAATGGATGTACAATAATTAGTTTCTAAAGAAACAAAACTTTTAAGAGTCTTGTCTGACTTCATCAGAAGTCCCCATAAGTCCATGTGCCAAGGTTTTTTCAGTCAATCTGTAACCTCACAACTAAATGGGACCTTTATTTTCATCAGGGTTATTTATTTGTTCACCACGTGTCTTTCAATTCATTTATTAACAATAGTTGTGTTTCTGCCATATCACACTTTAAGTCTTATTTTAGCTTTATATGCTCCAAAATAGAGGCCACTGCGCTCATTTGCCATGTAACTTATGGCTTATAGTTAACAACCTGGAGTGCTGAGTTTTTTGCAATTGTAAACGCACAAAAAATCTATCTCAGAACTAAGCAATCTCAATGTTCCTGATTATTCTGAGCCATTAACTTCAGGATTCTTTGTTAGGGTGCTATTGTAGGTAGTTGGAGCCATATACCTGAAAAGTTAGAAAAGTTGAATAAAAATGAAATGATGCTTAAGTGCTACTTTCTATGCAAACAATTCACTTGCAGATCTGAATGTATTCTTGGGCCATTTACATAATGACTAGAATATAGTTAAAAAACAAATCAGACTTCTTCCAATACATATTTCTAAGACACAATGCAGGTCATTTCCAAAATCACATGATGGATTTAAGAAGGAAGACTTGTAGTGTTAATTGATATATTACAATTATTTTGGCTTTGGTTTATTGATATTGCCCAACTCTATGAGTGACTACATGTGTGTAAATAAAAAAAATCTTCTTCCATTTTTCTAAGTGAGCTTCACAGCAAGCAGCCATGTTTTGTTTTGAGCAGTTTTTGTTTTTAGAGGTTATGAGCAGAGACAGTGGCAATCTATTCTTTATTCACAGCTTTTTATTTTCTTTAAATCATTTGAATAGTGTTTGCAAAAGTGTGATGCCCTATTGAACACATATTTTTATGTGTGAGTGTGATGGTCATGCTCATGGTTTGTTTGTTTTGATGTGACAATTTTAATTTTTGGTCAACCCCCTTTAATTCAAAATGTTAGTCAGAGTCAGTGTTGGGGGGTTGATGCATTACTAATATACACGTTGCTGTAGTCACATTACTTTTTTCACTAACAAAGTTAATATTTTAACACATTACGGAAAACGCTTTGGTAATCATATAACAGTTAACTAATGAACATGTTACTTATGTTAAAAATTGCATTTTATTCCTTAATGCTTTATCACTGACTATTGTTTTGATACGAATATAAAATGTATGCATGCAGGCATGAACGATTGCCTAGCAGCAGCTGCGCTGAGCAGAATACAGACCTGTGCTGTAAGGACAGGCGTAGGACGAGGACATCATAGGACAGCGGGGACAGGGTGACTAAAAGTGGAATTAACTCTTATTACTGTTATTAAATATATCAATGTTAGACAGTACTCTCCAAAAGCAATATTCTCGCTTAATAAAGATTAATGCCCCAAGCAGTGTGTGTGTGTAACCAAATAATTAACATTTAAATGCAGATTTGTAAGAATCTTAGAAAGCAGGAAAAGTTGCTCTATTAACCAAGTAATTAGTAGATGATCCTATAGTAATTTGGGGTGAATAACTGTTTTAAGGCCAGCTTCCTTCTTCCTTTTGGCACTGTGATGCCCATTTCCTTGCTGCAGTAAAATAAAGTAAATTCTCAACTCATATGTGGCACTTGCCTTGAATATGAATAGACAGGTGGGCTTTGACTATCTGCACAGAAAGGCCTATAATTGTTTTTGGCATGAAGTGGAGTCACCTGCACAGTTTTCAGATCTGTAAAAATGCCTGCAGGCTCATCGGAGATCTTTAAGGAACAGCAACTTGAATCCATAATAAGTTTCTAGTTTAGCTAAAACTAAGGGATAGCTGCTTTCAACATGTAGAGTTGTAATGCTCTCTTGTACAAATAAAGAGTTTTTAATGTTTTGTAAATCGCATTTTTTATTATTGACAAATAAAACTTTGAGAAAAAGATTCTCTGAACATGACTCTTTTGTTACATTTCTCTCTGTCGGCTGTTTAATTAGTGACATACAATACCAAACATTGGCAAACATTTCTGATCCATTTGATCAGTTCTGAAGCAGTTATAGTTGAAACACACAAATCAAGAATGAACTATTGAATTATTTTTGTATTTTTTCATATGGTATTGCTGGAGTTGGACATACTTCCTGTGCCCTTTAAATGCCCTCTGGAGGACATTAAGATGGAACAGCTCATCTTCTCCTGCTTAGTTTGGTGGGGTTGTACCTAAAACACACAGAAATATTTGATCTCACAGGTCTGTCCATTTGAAGATGGGCTTTTAACATCACATTCACGTCATGGATCATTCCTCAATGTCCTTAGAGGCATTTTGAACAAACAATAAAAACAGCCCAAATTAAGCGCTGTAAAACGAGGACAGTGTTTGAACAGTTTAAAGCAAACAGGCTTCCTATAAACCGTGTCTGGAACATTTGTTTCATCCTACCCAAAAAATACCGGATTGTTTTCTTAGCAGCAAAGTCTGGCTATGCATGACTGACTGAGCAGTGATCAAACAGATCAGCTTTGACACACACAAAAAATAAATCTCAGACTGTCTCTTTTTTGCTTAGTCAAAGAAAACACGGCAGCAGCAGCTTTCATCATCTCTGTTACCCGGGCAACCGCTGTGACGATAAAGTAACTCAGCTCTGATTGGTTAAGCTGAAGCTACAGTGGTCCTATAATTCTCAGTTAATGCTATAATGAATAATGTCTGCACCTGATTATAATGACTGAGGTTGTACAGACAGAATCTTCATTTCAGTGGATTTTTACCACTTTGACTATCATGGTGACAAAGTGTAGGAGCAGGCACGACTAGTACAGGACACGATGTGCATTAAGGGTTTTGGCCAAACTTCAATGTCCGAGAGCAACAGACTAATAAGTCAACAGGGAAATATTGTAGCTCCTATGAGTTCTAAATCAGAAAGGATGCTACAGATGAACAAACTGAAGATGAAACATTTACACCTGCCTGGTCAAACAATAAACACAAAACAAAGTACAATTAAACACAGGAATTGAACAAAGAAAATAATGTTAACGGTTGATATACCAACCAGTAGCTGTCTGTGCACTAAAAAACATCTGGTGCTAATACACAGCCCTGGCTCTGTAAATGGCAAACAGAGAAAGTGGATTGGACGGATATTTCTTACGTAAGGCTTCTATTGAGGTTTCTGAATGCAGGTTTGAAAGTCTGTCGTCACTTCTGGATGTGTGTGGCAAGCAGGGGGGAGAAGGTGGACTAGTGCGATGCATTTCATTCACAGATATTAATTTGGTAAGAAGATAACTTTCTTCTTTGGCTACAGAATATTGTCAGTGTAGCTGGAGGTGAAAATATGACTTATTTTAGAAGTATAACATACTTAATTAATTATATAAATATAATATTTATTAAATTTGCTACGGCATTCATTGTCTTCAAGTATTGACTCTTTGACAAGACACAGGTAAAAAAACAAGTATTTACAAGTTACAAGTATCTAAAGCATCAAGAAAATCTCTAATAACTAAACAAATAACTCAAAATCAGTATTTTACAGTTTATAACAAGCCACTGTTTAACTTTGAAATGACGTCGTAATAAAAGAAACAGAGGTAAGAACCAAAAGGTTTGGCTTTTTTTCCTCATACTCAAAACCTTACAATAATTTTTAGTAGGGATAAGTTAACAATGTATCAGTCGGTACTTTACTACAAAAAGAAATCCAGTTTCTCACCTAAAGAGGTCATCTCCAACACTCTCGTCCCGTTTGTTGTGACGCTCCTCCTGAATCAAACAAACGCTCAAATCATTAATACAAAACTCAAAGAGTTCACAGACAGATACAAGAGACTGAGTGATAATATTACCTCAACTGCATCTTTCAGCCACTCATCCAGATCGGTGTTTTTGCCCCGGTTGTGAACCAGCAGATCAGAGCCTCCGATGACGGGGCCCACTGCGCTCACTTCCCCTGCCCGGCAGATCTGTCACGTGCACACAAGAGCATTTATAATTTTAAAAAAATGGGATTCTGTACATGATGTAACCTTTGTTGGAATTTCCTTTGTTGTGCTTTGAGGGGGTGAATGAAGTAGATTTGGACCAGACGGTATGTATCTGTCATGGAGACAATGTTAGGCATACACGTCATCTCTTCAACTCACAAAAAAATAGGACGCCGGTCTCACATATAATGAACATTTTACTGAGAAAAGGAATCACTTATTTAAGTGCTTGGAAGGGAAATACATTATTGTTTCTGCCACTTGATATTTTGTTTTTTTACACCTTTTCCATGAGGACCTTTTTTCCTTTTTTGAAATTGAGAGAAATTGTCATTGTTGTCAATTCAGTAGATTATTTTTCTGTCTAATTAATGGAGGACTAAATATCTAGATAACATCTTACAGACAGAGCCTTTCTGTAGCAGTTATTCACAGCGCTGTTCCCAACTCCCCAATAGGAGTATGCTGTTTGTTTTAGTTGTGTAAGTTGCATGGTAGACAAACCTTGCGGAAACTTTTGAAGTTCTTTGCGCAGCCGTAGCTCTGCACCCTCTGTGGTTTCGTTGTGGGAACTGCGCTCACAGTCAGAGATCTAAACTCCACCAAAACCAACTTTTTGGGAAGATCTTCATCAATGTTTGACTCCTGTGAAACAGCACATTAGTGAATCAACTTCTGATTAACAGTTTTCATTCTTCCTTGAATAAATAAATGTTGAACAATATATAAGGAACCAAACCTAAAGTGACAGTAGAATGAATATCTGAGAGTTGAAGAAAATGATAGCAATACAATCAGTGATGTCTGTTTCCCTTTTGCATAAATGCATAACATATATAAACATTTGGTTCTTTTCACAGCTTTTGGCTGAACTTACTTGGACCTCCTGTTTGATTGGAGGTTTCTTAGTTTCTTCTTTTGGCTGACAAATATCTGCTTTGCGCGGCTCTATATCCTGCAGGCATAAAAAGAGTGAACAATGTAAATCAACAGCATGTCATGAAACAGTTTTAAGTCTTAGTTTCTCGAAGTAAATCCTCACCTCAATGAATAATTCCGAATCATCAGAAGGCTTTAAGTGTGCAATGGCAGATGAAGCTTGTGGAGGTTTGCTGAACTCATGACTAGGTGCCTTGTATTCAACAGGGTGAATCTGCGCTGTCTTTATAGAGACAACATGCTGCTCAGTTGTTTGGTTCTTATTGGAGCTTGACTCTTTTTGCAGGCCCACCTCTGGCCTCGGCTTGTTTCCATTTTCTTCCGGTTGGACCCGTTGCCTCTTGCTTGAAGACGAAGCCTCCACATTATTTACGCCTTGTTGTTTGGTTGAACTGCTCACTTTTGGCTGTGCTTGCTGGCCTTGATTCCCTGAGGGTTGCTCATCAAAGAAGTCCATATCTTCAGACATAAGGAACTCCAGTTCGTCCTCCTGTATCTCTGCTTCCATCTCCTTCCTCTTTCTGTTCCGCGGTTCTTCCTGTACAGTGTCTGAGACCCTCTCCGACTGAGCCCCTGACCCTCCTCCAAAGAGATCAGCTGCTGACTCCAGAGGCGTCTGGGATGTTGCTGAAGGGACTCTGTCTGAACGGGAGGATGTTTCTTTAGACGTGGATGAGGTGTTTGCTGCCTGTATGTTTATGGGTGATTCCAGTAAAGGGCGCTTTGGCTCTGACATGGCAGCAGAGAGCTCGTCCTCCAAAGGCCTTCACGAGGAAACAAAGAGAAGGGTAAGCATAGTTTCTTATATTGTTGCCGAATTCAGTTATTTGTAAATGTTCAGATCCCTACCAACATGCAGAAACACTGATATAGTCCTTTAAAAAAAAGTTTACCTTTTCTTGTTGACAGTTTGAAAGAAACTGGTCAGACTTGATTGGTTCTGTGGGGAAGCTTGTGCAGGGATCTTTTGTTTTTGAGGAGATTGCTTCTGTTGGAATGTCTTCGTGCCAACGTTGGTCCTGGGAAGGGAAGACTGGGACCAAACGGCACTACTGCCTGCACCTGAAACTGCAAAACATTGATTGATGGGTGATGGACGATCAATAGTTTATAGTAAAAAAATCCTGAAAAGCAGAAAAAGACAGACTGGTGCATCTCTAGTTTATTCATGCAGCTACCTCTAGGTTTGGACTCAGGCTTCTTCCTCTCTGAGGCAGTGTTTTCTACAGTGTTGAACGATGATCTTATTGTGTCGGCCACGATGCACTGAGTGGTGTTCAGAGCGGGTTTGGATCCACAGAGCTGACTGATGTTCTGGTTTTGCTTCCTCTCAGGAGTCTCACCTACTGACATCTGCTCTGTTCCTTTAAATACCTCTGTCCTGTTAAATAACAACAATTACACACATCAGACAGGCTTCCCAGAACAGGAAGAAGAACCAAACGTTTGGACAACTTTCACACATTATAATTAGGGCTGTCAGTCGATTAAAATATTTAATCGCAAATTAATCGCACATTTTTTATCTGTTCTAAATGTACCTTAGAGGGATATCTTTCAAGTTTTTAATACTCTTATCAACATATGAGTGGACAAATATGCTTTATATGTTTGTTTATTATCATTTGAACAATGACAAATATTCTCATGAATATTAAACACAACAACCTGAACATTACAAATATTCGCCTCAATTCAACCTGGAACCTCTCTCATACAATAATACTGTGTGTGTGTGTGTGTGTGTGTGTGTGTGTGTGTGTGTGTGTGTGTGTGTGTGTGTGTGTGTGTGTGTGTGTGTGGAGACACTGTGATGGATCTATGGAGCTATGTGCAGCTCAAGGCATGCTCGAATGGGAGCTGCCTGGACGCTGCAATCATGTTGCGCGCACTATCCGTGCTGACTGTGCTGACTTTTCGTACAATGTCCCACTGTCTGGCTACCTGCATAAAGTCAAGTGCTCGGCGCAGTTGTCGGCGAAATGTCATTGAAACAGCTCCTTATATCCGTCAGCGCAGCAAGCTAGCACCAGATGCTAACAACAACAACACGTAAGGTGTGCCTCGCTCGCGCGAGTCGCGCCACACATACACACTCCTTCCCGGTCCTCCCGATGGCCAGTCCGGGCCTGCCAGTGAGCGTGGTAGTGTGGTCTGCCACAAGCGAGTGGCAGGAGCGGGGCTGTCAGCATCAGCTTGTCGATGGTATTTTACACTCGATGCGCTCTGAAACTACGGCGGCCGAGGACAAAAAATACACATGCGTTAATCGCGTTAAAATAATTAGTGGCGTTAATTTTTTTTTGCGTTAACGCGTTATTAACGCGTTATTAACGCGTTAACTTGACAGCCCTAATTATAATAGATGTGTGTTTGCGAGTGTGTGTCAGTACCCTTGTGATGTCTCTGTGTTGACTGCATAAGCTGTGATGTTCCGAGAGGCTGCAGGCAACACAGTCTCCTCCACCGCCATGCTCTGAGACAGAGAGGCACTCGGGATTCTGGGTTGCACTTTGGGTGCCGACTCTGAAACATAAACAAAGACAGAAATAAATCAAAGAAAATGTATAACGCTAAAGAAAAAAAAAGGCAGCAATCAGTGCTTTTCTATCTAACCCCCACCTGAGTCTGGTGTCAGACAGGATGGATTGCAGTACTTCTCACACGAAGCATAGATGGCAGCCAAACCGATTTCAGACTCTGTGATGACTCGGAGGCCTTTTCTGTCAGCGAAAAAACGATAAAAGTCAGAGAGAGAGTTTTAAAGTCTTCACAAATCATCCCTTTGACAACTCAATTGCCAAATCACATACTGAAGTGCTTTTTTTCATTAAAAAACAGCTTGTGTTTTACCTTTGGACAATGTTCTTTGCAGAGTTTGCCCACTCTGCAGCAGAAGCAGGAAGCAGAGGCTGGGAGCTGCCTGAGGTCATATCCACCACACAGCAGTGAGGACTCTCCAGCAGGCTGCGGGGCAGAGAGCCTGCCTCCAGCATCTGGCTCCGGCCCCCTCCAAAACTCACAGCTGCACTCAGGCGCTTGAGCTGCAAACAACATTGAAGAGCAAAACCATGACTGTTTATCTGGACAGTGACCAGAGAGGCAGGAAAGTACTGACAGTTAATGTCTTCTGATATTTCTCCTCATGTAAGTCTGATTAAAAGCTCAATAAGCGATCAATAAATATTTTAGATATTGTAAAAGCATTTGTTCCAGAGGATATTCTTTAATGTCATGACGTCAGATTAGCCGAGGACAATTCAGATTTCAGATAGGCTCTTACCACGGATGCAAAAGCTTTACAGGTTGAAAAATTGTCTCTCTGCGCCGATCATTCCAAAATCATTTTTAATATTACCCTACATGGAATATAAATGTAGTTGAGGGAATCTTGAGTGGGTGCTATTTTTTTGTGTGGGATCATCGATACACCTGCAATACATACCGTGGTCTAGCATAAAAGTATAGGTTGTATTTAAGCACTGTGTTGTTCTCTGTTATGCTGTGAGAGGGTCCTTGTGACTTGAACATCGTCCCTTTTTAAATGACTAGGAGATAAGTGAGTGTAGGAAATGACTCACAAGCAAAATGCTGGAATTATTTGTAAATTAATTAATTACCATTAATAACAATTTACCACTTAATTGTTTGATAACAGATGTAGATGTTTCTTTTTATATTAAATGGTTGCTTATTTGCCTGCTGATGACACTATGTAAAATGGAGATACATATGAAATTATAGTGATAGTAACATTAGTTCTACATTTTATTAACTATCATCTTTTTAATTAATCTTGAAAATATCTCATCTCTTGAGTAAACATCTTTACTACAGCTCTTCACTGGAGCAGTTGGTCTCCCAGAGGATCTCCGTGCTGCTCACTGCCTGGCAACTGATGTTCAGCGGATAAACAAGATGCTGACGAGATCATGTAACTTTCCAATTATTACCGAAGCTAATGACAGAAAAAACAAGCAGGGTACGGCGGAGATAATTTCTTATAAATCTCATGTGTTTTGTTATCCTTGACTCAAGAGGATAATTGCAGAGCAATAATAACTGATCACCTGCAGCCCTGCTGTTCTGTGACCTAGAATATCACAAAGGAAAAGGTGGACGTACTTGTTTGGCACTGAGGAATATGAAGGTCTTTCCATTGAAAAGCCGTTTCCGAACTGGATTTGCTCCAAGGTTTACATCCTCTTTACTCAGGCTGGGCTCATCGATCTCAGGGATGAAACTTAAAAACAATGAACGGCACAGTTAGGGAGATAATGTTCAGTGTGGCGTCTGATAGTCAGTTAATCCTCAGTGAGCATGTGTATACATAAAGATGGCTGATTTTGTACCTCTCAGATTTAGGAGGGGGCAATTTCTGCTGAACGGCTCTGCTGAGCTCTGAGAAGAACTCCGGCTTCACGATGGGACGGCAGCACAGCAGAGCAGAGATTGTCTAAATAGGAAATCAGGAAAAACATTAAATACATAATTGGGGACAAATACACACATGTGCTATTGAGAATAAACAAGTCTGGTCCTGACCTTGATGGTGACCTTAGCAGTGGGCATGGCCAGGTGGGTGCAGTCCTGCGTCCAGGTGTTGACCAGCTTACCCCCCACAGCCACCAGGGCCTGGGAGAGCGACGTCTTGCCATCATTGTCCACACATGAGGAACACACTACGGGCTTCTGATGGTCCAAACTGCAAAGAGATTTGGAATTGAGACCTTTCTAAATGTTGAGGAAATAAAACTAAGCTTGAAAGGAATTCAAGGCTATTTCCTTCAAGTCATAGTTTTTGTCAACAACATGTATTCACACAAGAAAACAAGACATCTATTGTAGATTGAAATTGACTCAAATATTTTGAGGTTTAATTTAACTAAAACTATTCATGTGACCTTTTCAAAAGACTTTGACTAAACCTAAATCAACATTCATAGTCAAAATGAACACTAGTGCAATAAAACAAGATGAAATCAGACTTATTGATCATGGTTCTGTTATATGAAAAAATAACTAGCCTTGTCTTGTTACAGTTATTTACCTGAATTTGCTGTGAAACACCCCAAATGTAACGTTGTCTCCTGACTTCAGGTTCATTGTTGTGTTCTCCGTCACGCGCTGGCCATTCACAAATGAACCGTACTTGGAGGTGTCTTTGACAGTCAGGGTCTAAGAAAAAAAAAAATATTATAACAGCAACTCATGAAATTGTCCATCAGTCAAACAAATCATCTGGACTGTCTGTTCAATTATTCATGTCTCGACAAGAAACCCATCCTTTCAAATAAGCGTAAGCTGGAAGTGTATCTTAGGCTTGCAAAATCAATTAAAACTGTTAAGTGTAGGAAGTAATGGACAGGACTGCAGCCTGCATGCTAAACGAATGACATCCAAAAGCAGTAACCAAGACGGTTACGAAACTTCTTTAACAGATAGAGAATTACTTTTAGAAACTTTAATGGTACAACAGCTTTATGAACAAATAGAAATGCACACATCAAACATAACATACCAAGAAGGTTCTGACAAATACAGAAGAAAAAATAAATCTGAGCTAGAAATGAGTTGATAATCCCCATAAAACACAAAAAAAAGGTAGGAGCTGGTACTTTAGATAGATAGACAGATAGATAGTACTTTATTGATCCCAAATTGGGAAATTGTTGTTGTTACAGCAGCATAAAAGGCATTTTACAATAAAACAAAACTACAAAATATACAACAATAGAAAGAAAAATAAAATAAAATATAAAATATACATGTTGAAATAGAAAATATACATGCAGATATTATATATATACAAATATATATATATTCAAAATATGACATATGGAATATGGAGTATAAATATTGAACAGATTATATGAGTAAAATGTACAACGTGGTTTAATTTCTAGAGAAACTATGGAGCAGAGAGTTCTCTTCCAGCCAGAGGTGATTTATTGTACAGTGTTATTGCAGTGGGCAGGAATGTTTTTCCAGTATCTGTCCTTGTGACAGGGGAGCTGCAGCAGTCTGTTGGAGAAGGAGCTCCGCTGACTGTCCAGCTGCAGGTGGAGAGGATGGCTGGGGTTATCCATGATGGACAACAGCCTGTTCAGTGTCCTCCACTCTACCACAGGTTCAAAAGGGTCCAGCTTGATGCCGATGACTGACAGTCAGAGGTGTATAAGGTGGGGCTCCAATACTACCAACCACCACATCAGACAGCACACTGCCCAGCCGGACGTACTGTGGTCTGTCCGTGAGGTAGTTGGTAATCCAGGAGATGGTGGACGAGTTTACCCTCATAGCCTGCAGCTTGTCACTCAGTAGCCGAGGCTGGATCGTATTGAATGCGCTGGAGAAATCAAAAAAGTGATTCTCACAGTGCAACCCGATCCATCCAGGTATGAGTGAGCACGCTGCAGCAGGTAAATAATGGCATCGTCCACCCCCAGGTGAGGCTGGTAGGCAAATTGCAGAGGGTCAAGGAATGATCTCACCTGCGGTCTGAGATGGGCCAAGACCAGTCTCTCAAGCACCTTCATCACATGAGATGCGAGTGCTACAGGGCGATAGTCATTGAGCCCAGAAGGAGTCGTCTTTTTAGGGACCGGAACAACGCAGGACGTCTTCCACAGCACCGGGATGGTCTCCAGGTGCAGGCTCAGGTTGTACAGGTGTTGGAGAACAGGAGACAGCTGGCGGGCACAGGTCATCAGGATCCTGGGGCTGATACCATCAGGGCCAGCAGCCTTGCCTTGGTGGAGTTTTTCCATCCGTCTCTGGACCTGTCCTCTGCTCACAGTGAATGGGGGGGGGGGCTTGATGGCAGGGGGGATAGAGGGGGGGGGGGGGGGGGGGGGTCTGAGGCAAGATGAGCAGAGGGGGGGGGGGGGTCAGCGGCAATGTGAGCAGAGGGGGGGTGCAGAAGCCAGGCTGGGTGGTGGAGGAGAGGTGTGAAGTGGAGGTGGTGAGCAGAGGGGGGATGCTGACGCCAGGCTGAGAGAAGGAGGTGAGGTGAGAAGTGGAGGTGGAGGAGACAGCAGCGGGCGGAGAGCTAAACCTATTGAAGAAGGTGCTCAGCTCGTTGGCCCTCTCCAGGGTGCCCACAGTCAGTCTTGTCTCTCCCTTTGAAGCCAGTGATAGCCTTCATCCCAGCCCAGACATCCCTGCTATTGTTCTGCTGGAGCTTCTTCCTGTAGGAATCTCTGCCCCTCCTCAACTTGTCTCTCAGCTCATGCTGGATACTCTTCAGCAGTGATTTGTCCCCAGACTTAAGCTTCCTTTTTCTTATTTACACACTTTTAACCACATATACCTTCAAAAATAAAAACAAGACTTGCCTCAAACTTTACCTTTGTATTTTAAATGTGACGATACATACACATGAACTTTGATTGTGTTAAGTTTGATAAACATAGAGTAATACAGGAAGTATATGAATTTGGGAACCACTACTAATCACTCTTAGTTGAGCATCAGCCTGCTACATGTTGGCGAGAGTGTGTCACTTTTTCTGATGTGTGCACTATCACTCGTAAACAACAGAGCTCTGGAAAGTGTCTCTTGTTGACTAAGGCGCCGTTTACACGAGGAGAAAACTGCTTGTATCTGCATAGTTTCGCGTGCGTATAGCCCTATTATTTACACGAGGCCGATAGAAACTGACCCCACAAACGATAACGGGTCCCAAGGTGGATAGATTTGCAAACGAAACGCTCTGGGGGGTCAACCGAGTCCGTGTAATCACCTCGATACGAATATTTCCTGAAAAAATAACGATAGCCCCGCCTCTCCTGCTCACTGCTGTAGCAACTATCAAAAATAGCTGTGTTAATTAAACGCACAAGGGGTTCTTGAATGAAATAATATTATAAAAGGCAAACCAGAATTGTTAACGCCCAATATACTCCTTAAACAAAATAAACAGAGTCAGATTTCATGCATTGATCCATTATATTGACAATTTTCCAGCCAAACAACACAAACAAAATTAAACAGTCCGCTCTGCGATACACCAAACTTGTCTTTACTGCCTAATCCAGGCCATTATTGTTCATTGCTCCTGCGCCCGTCGGCGGCAAAAAGAGAAATGTTTGTAGGCAGAGGACCGGCGTGTCCCAGAGGAGCGATCTCACCCGGTGTTTGTAGAGAATATCTCTCTTTCTGAGCGCGTCCTCTCCACGGAGACGTGCTTCTTGGTCGGTCGATGCAATATCCACAGATTCGGTTTCTTTCAGTTAACTTCCCCGTTGCATTTATCCATATGCTGAGGAAATGACTATATCCCGCTGAATACCAGCAATCGCCACACACACTTCCTCCTGTCAGTAGCTACTGCTAGTGCTACTGCTACTGACCATGCTACAGATATTAGTGCAAAATCTACAGCTCCTCTACCACAACCATCAGCAACAAGTGGACATGGAGAATTACATGAACTACATGTTGCTAAATACACCGCGGGGCATGAACAGAAGGGTAGCCATGGCAACATTGCTGCGGGGCTGCTCCGGGCTGCTCTTCTTCGCTGCTTTTGGTGTATTTTGGCGGAAGTTACAGCGCCACTTACAGTCCCGGCATATGTACTACAGCGTTTCCAGCGGCCTCGTTTGAACAGACACGTTAAATGAAACAAATGCATGTGAACGGAAGACTTTTTTGAATACGCATACTGTGCATAAACGCAAACGTTCCTGTGTGAAGGAGGCCTAATGCTGCTGCTCATGTTTCCATCAGCCTTTACATCTCTCTGTCTGTAAGTGCTTACTGACATCAAAACCTCACACTGTAGATTTTTGTTTTGCAGTTGTGAGGGTATTGTGGTATTTCAACTTATCGAATGGCCCTAGACAAAAACCTGGACAGTATCAGTAAATATCTTATATATATAAAACAACCTATCAGTGCTGATACAATAACAATCATGTATGTTTAATTGTGTAAGTGTTAACACTCAGCAAAGCCTGCATGGTTTGTTTTTAACCCAGTAAATGAGTGATGGAGACCATTTCATGTTTTATTCGTAATTTTTTTGTGTATGTATGTAGAAAGCTATGTTATTTCACCACTGCAACTCTATTTTTGGTCTCTTATAAGTTAAATCAATACCAATAAGGCTGGCTTCTAGAATGAGCATGACATAAATTACATTCTTTTACTAAATACAGAATATATCAAATCTCAAAGTTTTATAAAACTGACTGATGTTACACTTGAAAGTAAGTGACACAATTGAGAATCTGTCAGTCATGCTACACCTCTGCAATAGCACCACCTTCTGTGTAGAAGTGCGACCACACTATTGTACAAATAAAATCAGACTACTCATCTACTGTTACACTGTTAGAAGGAATGAATGATATAGTCAAATTAATATTTTGGTCTTCTAATTCCCTCTCACCTGGTCAGTGGCTGTGAGATGAGCGTGAGCCCGGCTGATGGACTGGTCGTTGGGGAGGAGGATGTCACAGTTCTTGCGTCCCACGACATACTCTTTAGTGGAGAGCAGATAGTGTGTCTCACCTGCGAGTGACAGGAGGCAAGTTATGGTAAACATCCGAAACAGACAACCTAACTCTGGATTTAAAAACTCCCATGACAAGTTGTGAAAGTGCACTTTTAATGCGTGGAAATTCTCTTACAGCAGATAAGATGCAAGATACCGAAGCTCAAACTGTTCTTGATGGTTCGGTTACGACAGATTTACACATTACACAATCTGCAATGCTTCCTATTAGTTTAGGTTTTATTTTTAGCAATTATTTGCAGTGTGATATAATTATAAAGGGAAAAAAATAACCTGATCACAAAGCTTACGTTTTGGAGTAAGACAAAGCTCAGAAACATGATCAAACCAAAGAGGATTACTAAACGTAATGTTATGTAAAATGTAATGTCTGTATAAACAGAGAGGGCAGTGGTTAGGTAAGTTAATTAATGAATTTGTCATTCATTGTCAACAATTGAGTGTCCCAAAATGGTGACACTCAATTGTTTAAGCAGAAGAGACAAGAAACAAAGGAAATAATGTGAGTGACAAATAAAAAGTATTAGCAAGATTTTAGAAAATACAGGGCAACTAAGACAGACCACTACATCCAAATGGTAAGACTTGTGTTGTTATTAAAAATTACATGATATTGAACATATTCATTTTCAAATTGTGAAATTATATGTTATGATTGGCCCAGAGTTTTTTGCTGTCCTGTGCCATAAAAGCCTATGTTTAGTGCACTCAACAAAACTAATGAATCAATCTTGGCCCAATTCAATGGCATCATAAGAACATTTAAAATGCACATGTACTACATGGTTTGCATGAAAAGGAAACTCATGCACAACTTGGCACATGGCCAACCAGGATTTCATACATCTCTAAAAACATATTCACTCTCGGTCAGTTAAGAAGCTTTAGTTGTTTTTATCATAACTTTATCTACTCTGAACAGAGATATCTGAATTTAATTTAGCTGTTAGCTGTGTGTTAAGCTATCATTGTCGGCCATTACAGACAAAGTTACCTCCAGGCTCCAGGGCTGTCAGTATCCACATCTTAATGCCTTTTGTTGACTTTTCATATGTTCAAACCTGCATTAAGTCACAAGTAAGCTTATTTCAATATTTTAAGACGAGCAATCCTGCAAAAGTATCAACAAGGCGGATACCCAGCGCGCCACCGCGTGACGTACAAAAGCTGCGCCACTGCTCTCTTTTCAAAATAAAGTACCTTCATTCATCTAAGGCAGGGGTGTCAAACTCAAGGCCTGGGCGCCAAATACGGCCCGCGACTTCATTTTATGCGGCCCTCAATAGCTTGCAAAGAATATAATACGTTTATTATAGAGTTACATGCCACTTTACAGAAGCACGTTGCCCATAAACTACATGTCCCACAATGCATCTCATTTTGTTACATGCGCACTGAAGAGACTTGCAATTATTTGCCCTAGACTTCTGCTTTCAGAGTAGGCTAGTTAATTATGAAGTTATTACCCTATCCGATAATAATCCAATTCAGAGACAATAATGTAATATCATGCATCATTTTATATATTATATATTTATATATGTACATTTATATAGTTACAACCGGCCCTTTGAGTGCAACCAAAATGCTAATGTGCCGTGGCCCGCAATGAAATTGAGTTTGACACCCCTGAAAAGGTTAGTAAATCTTTCACAAATTTGAAATAATCAATGTTATTTAAGTAATGTCATTCATTTCTGAAGAAAGGGAATGGTAAAAGGCTTGTTCGGAATAATAGGCTAGATTTACCAAACTACTACTAGCCTACCGAAAGACAGTTTGAGGTAGCCTACTTTTACTTTACATGAGTATTTCTACTTTCTGCTACTTTCTACTTCGACTGCCCTACAATTCAGGGGCAAATCTTGTATATTTTACTTTATATTCAAGGGATAACTGTGATGATTAGATAGATACACACTCCTACCACAAAGTGTCGCTATAGAGTTGTGATCTATGGTTAAATCCAGATGTAAGGTAAAATACCTGAACAAAGATTATTATTATTAATAAAGATGGCTGAGAGTTTAGCACGGAGCACGAGTCAGTTCATTAATAGACCAACAAACAAAACAATAACTTTACTTCCAGTTTTGCTATCTAGATATGAATATTGATGCGTTCTGGATACAAACCATGACCTGTGGACAATGGGACATCTTCTGAAAATACGACATAAGTACATTCAAAAACTGTTAATGCAACTTCGATAAATCCATAACGCTGCAGATTCACTGTCATGTCTTTGAACATTTGTCATGATTTTTCTTTAACTGTGTTTGAAACAGCAGAAAATACTGTATATTTTCTGCCAAGCAAGCAAAAACACAATTAAATGTGTGAACCAGATTTGAAAATAAAAAATAACCCATTTGACAATCCCAGAAATTGGACATACATTTTAATTTAATTTTAAAATATGAACCAAAAATAATCAAGACATTCAGACTGAGTCAACAACAAAATACATCCACAACACAAGTCTAAAGTGTGTAATTATGCAGAGTTAACAGATCATCCGTGGGAGTTATTTGCAGATTTGGTTATACCATTCAGTACAGTTTAGTCCCTCACAAACTTTTTGATAATGTACAAATCTGAAATACACTTCACACATTGCTAAATCCTTGTTTTTTAAATGTAATTTAATTGCTTAAACTCAAAATAAAGGATCATTGTCAGAATTCCACGGTTTGCGTGCATCTGGCCTGAGACGTCCTCTTCCCCAGAGGCAGGGTAGTTTGTGATTGACTCTCATCACGGCAACACTCATACATGAGTCAGGTTTACGGATGACCTCACACCAGTCTGGATAGTCCACAGGTTGAGGTCCGCTGTAGGGTAAGATCACAGTAACAGTACATTTATTCTCCATCCAAATAAGTTAAATACTTCTTGGGGAGGATTGTGAATTTGGAAAGAAACTCACTGGTCACAGCATCCTACTCCAAAAGGCTCCATGCAGACACACTGGTAACAGTCACTGGTTATCCAGCTCTCTCCTATCCCGTACATCTGCCCCATGTGTTCACAGCTCCCTAATAATATAAAAAGAAGAACAACAAATCAGTGTTCATTTCAAACCTTTATTTATCCAGGTGAATCCCTTGAAATCAATTGATCTCTTTTTCAAGGGAGACCTGCCGTTGATTACATATAAAGAATAAATACTTTGTGAAATGTACTCTAATGTAAAAATCCTGCATTCAAATGTTTTTAAGTAAATGAGTGGTCATTATGCATAATCCTCGCTTTTATATAATTATATATATTATGCTTTTATCATTCGTGATGCATTACCCAGCATTTCATGGTTGCAGCAGGTGTATACGTTTTATATTCGGATGATATGATTTGAAAAATTCAAATTTTTTAGCATTTACAAATTATAACCAAAATGTTTAGCAGGGTATAAAGTACACAAATCTAAATATGTTGAACAGTTATAAAATAGCATAAATGTAGTGCAAGTAACGCATATACATAATTTAATTACTTTGTACCACTGGTCAATATTACACTGTTGGAAACAATATGTCTGGACTCATTTATGTGAACATCCTGCACCTTTGGTATTGAAGAAGCACTCTCCACTGTTATACACAGAGGAACATGGCACACCGGCACTCAGGAACAACAGTAAAGCCAAAAACACTCCTCCTGCTGCGATGGCCATTTCTGAAAAGAAGCAGCGCACAGGTATACACATAGAGAAACAGCAGAACATACTCAGCACATGGAAGAATTTCCAGATGTTTTGCCTTACCTCTTGCAAAGTTTGCTCTTTTACTATAAAAACCTCCTCTTGTCGTCTGGATTTTCCTCTTGCTGTCATTCACTCTCTTGTTATTTTTCGTCTGTCTCGTCTGCGTCTCCTCCTCAGTGCCAGTGAACTGATGCTCTCGTTGCCCGTGGGCTCAGATATTTATACTGAACCAGCTCATCTTTATCTCTAGTTTCTTCTCTAGACCCCCCTCCCCGCTCATTAATTACCTTCGATATCTGCATGCACACATACAGTATGCAGACCCACACAAACAAACGCAAACAAGCTTTATTATTACAATGTTCGTCATTCCCTCTTGTCATGCTACACAGAAATGGCTCTAGAGTATACAGTGTGCTCGCTTTCAGATAACATTTGCTTCAGGTTTGCCATTTGACCCTATCAGTAGATCTCAGTGGGACTCTATCCCTCGGACAACCAGCCGGTGGCCTTTTGTCCTCCACACACTGTGTGACCCCTGACCCCTGCTCAACGTCCAGGTGCATCTCAACGTATATTATTGTGACGTCAAATAAAAATAATACTTCAGATGCTTTCTTTTGAAAAATGCAATGTTAATGGTCTTATTATTATCTTTCTTTTGATTTAATTGATTTTAACAGTTTTTTCACTATTTTTATCTTTCTTATTTTTCTAGTTTCATATTTGTTTATCTACTACTATCACTATTTATCAATATAAGCATAAGTTGTCGCATAACGTGTTCCTATTTTACATTTACTTATAGAAAATATAAAGTATATAACTTACAAAGCTTATAATTGCATTTTTTCCTATTTTTATTTTTCTTCTAATGTGCTGTTTTTCTACAGCCTTTTCAAATTGTCAGCAAAGGAAAGTAAGGTTGCTTTTTAATTTATTTATCGTTTTTTCTTGCACTTTAAAACTCTGCTATGATGTGCTGATTTTCTCATTTCCAGCATTATACTATCATGATGTGTCTTTTGAGATACTTCAATCATTGTACGGTATATTCATTACCCATTGTTATGTTGTGTATAGAAAACTAATAGTTAAAACTAGAAATAAAAAAGGTAAATGTAGGTTTTATCATGAGCAGGAGAGCTGGCAAGATATTTTAGGGCTTGTAGGGAGGAAGGGCTTCAGTATCTTTGTGCTGTAGGTTGTTTGAATAAACCACCCTGAGTCCTTTGATAACATGCGCTTATGTAGACCTACCGTTGCACACACACACACACACACACACACACACACACACACACACACACACACACACACACACACACACAAAGTTTGTATGCGTATGTACCAAATGAAAGTTTCCGTTAGAGGACAATTGAGGTTTTTTGTTTGTTTACAGTGCAAAGAACAAACTGCTGACGAGTTGATTTTGGCAGAGAAGGAAGAGTTGAGATAAGCAATCTATAACCCCCCCCGCCCACACACACACACACACACACACACACACACACACACACACTTTACTCTAATCTTAGTGAATCGGTTCTAAAAACAAACCCTACATTTTTCCTTAAATGTGACAACAGATCAGATGAGTGACATACTGTAGACGCACACAAATGGCCTCTATGACATCTAGTGTCGTCAGGTGACTTTAATGCATGCCGACCGGCCCATCCAGTTTACTATTGTTTTAAAAATATTCTTAGAATGTCCCAAGACAATCCTTCCTACACTACGTAGCTCTGTGAATAGCATGTTGTGATACTCTATTGGTAACTGCATTTTCATAACATGTACTGTTAAACAATAACTCATTTGATTCTCACATGAGTGGCATTTCCAGCCAGTGCTCACACTGCCCTTTATTACTGTACGCTTCTTGCACTATACAATAATAAAATGCCCTTTGAAGATTTAATTGACTGAGAGAGCGGTCATATCATTAGGACAAAGTCCAAAAGCATTTTCCATGCCGATAAATCAGTTAATTAAAGTATAAAAATAGTATTTGAAGCATACTGCTCCCTATTTTTGTATGCAATTGGAGGTGAATCAGAGATGTGGAGAGAGTAATGAATCACTGCAGACGATGTTAACATGCCATCAAGCTTTATTTATACGCATGGAGAAAATCACAGATGATGACAAAAAATATGCTTATTTGTACATTCCTCCTCAAGTGCCGTTAAGGAATACAAATAGTACAGTTAGGGTTACTAACCCTAACCCTTCTCTGCTGAGACAAAGGCTGTTATCGGGTTTGGCATTTTTACGTCACAAACCTGTTTATGGTGCCGGTGTTAACACCTGTTTGCTCACGGAACAGGATGTACTTGCATACTTAGATCCCATTGGTAAAACAAAAGCTATGTTGTTTCAGCTGTCAATCCTGTAAACATTATTATTGTCTCACTATACTGTATGGGTGTGGGTGTCTTTAAGAGAGAGAGAGTTAAAGACCATTTCGATAGTGACATTTGATACTTAATGACATTATTGTTTACTTTTTAATTTAGTACATAAGGATAATGTTAATAATTATCACACCTTCATGATAAAGGTGCTGCTTCAGAGTTAAATACTGAATGTGGCATTCAGTCTTTGAGTTTACGATAAGATACTACAATAAAACTTGAAGAATGCAAATGAACACAACAATGACATTTCATGATATTTAGCAGTAGATAACAATCCTCTGATTGCAAAAGTTACCATACCCAAACATCTGACTTCAGGGGTCTTTTATCAGAGGTACGAGGATCAGAAGTTTTTGCCAGACTCTGTAGGAATATGTCTGATATTTAGTTGACACAATGAAGCACAAGAACAACCGAATATCAAACATATCACACAGCTTCTAGCCAGTTGGAGCCTCGGCAGACTGGAAAAACCTGTCGACAAGAGAGACAATTCAGTGGGTGTAAATAAGGGAAGAACAGATACAGAGTTAAATAAATATTGTCCGTCAGCTCGTTTCAGATCAGAATCTAAGCCACAGACAATAATAGGAGAGAATTACATATGTATAATTTAACACTATGAACAAATAACTGAAAAAGCTGGGATTTGATGGCCTTGAGGGAGGGAGTCACTCACACAGGGAGTCAGAGATCCTGTTTACAACTAGTCTCACCTATCAGTGGATATATTGGCTTCAGGAAAGACAGGGAAACCGTGTACACAGCAAAGGCATAAAAGAGGGAAACCCGAGCCAACACAAATATGAGGATACTTACCAATTCCTTGTATCCCTTCTCAGCGTCCCTGTGTCCTGCCAGTGAAAATGTTAGTAAAACAAGTGGTTCAAGTAAAAAAAAAAAGTTGTTACTCTGAGCAATCAAAAAAGTGATTCCCAACTAACTGTTAAATGTGTGTGTGATCTGTGTGTATGAGCTATTCCTCAGTGGGACAGCATTTATATACACAACCCTGTGAGTTTGGGGGGGAACATACACACAGTCAGTGCCCCATGTAATTAGAGGTATATTGATCAGCTGCTGTGGCCTGAAGCCTTTCCTCCCCACATTAGGCTGATCAATAGATGTGATGTTCATCCTACTGTGAGCCCCCTCACACACGACCGCAGATGCAAAGTCAAATAACTCTCAGTTATCGCCTGTAGGGAGGACATGGCGGTCACTTCACCGTCCCTGTTTGTATCCTGTTACTAACAATTCAGATATCATACGACATGTATTTCAAAAAACTACCATCACATAGGGATGCACGCATGCAATAAACATAGTAACACTATATTCATTTTTATAATAGCGCTTTAAAATAATGTTTAATTAAATGTATATGTAGAGAAAAGGAAAATAAATGTATATACAAACTGAGATAATATGATTACTTCCTATTACCTAAATCTTATTTTCCTTCGCTATATCTCTCTACTTCACCAAAAGTAATTGCTAAAGGGAGTTGTAAAACTGCGTTATTCATAGGTTTTGATATTTTCACAGTTTTGCATCTGGATGATAACCCCAACATTAGCTCTACACAGGAAACGTATATTCTTTGAATAGAAAGACTGTCCTTGAATTCTTTAGGCAAGTGGAAGACCGTCAGGAGATGGTAGGGACTTTGGTCATTTATGGTGGAAAGTAACTAAGTACATTTCCTCAAGAACATGTATTCATTATTGAGGTTCTTGAACATTTCCCTTTTTATGCTATACTTTACAATTTCCAACCTCCATATTAAATGTGTTTTTGTTTTACTATACCATATGTATTTGGCAGCTATAATTATGAATCAATTTAAAACCACAGTTTTTGATAAAACTATGCAGAAGAACCTACAGTAGTCTTTCAAAGTCATGACACTAATACTAATCATAACTAATAATGATGTTATTCATCACAGAGTAGTAATGTAATGTATTGTTAATAAGTCGTTGTTTGTCCCTTAAAGAACATGCATGGTGCTGTAGGCATATTCTACTCTTAAGTAAAAGGTCTCAATACTTCTTCCACCAGTAGTTGTTGGTATGTGTGTCAGTACCTGTCATATCGTTTATTTCTTTGTTTTGTATGTGTTATGTTGGTTAACATGTGTCTGTGTCTGTAAACAGTGTCTCCAACTAGATGAAGACAATTACTAAATTGAGAAACTCCATTAAAAGTGTAGGGAAATTATACATGTTAACATCAGGGCACTGCTGCCAAGGTGACCTCTGGCTGGTGAGGCTATTATCACTCTATCTGTGTGTTAAGGCCCCCCCCCCTCCTTAACACACAGATAGAGTGGTCGTAACACGTGTTGACTTCACATCAACTGTCACATATGGTGGATTACAAAGATTAAAAACACTTTCACCTGGTGTTTGAGGCCATATTTTTTCTTTTTAAATCAGCAAGTGTAGCTGATAGTGAGAATTTCAATCCAGAATAAATCTTATTATTCCAAGGGACATTCAGTATTTGACTGTTATATATATATATATATAATATCAAAGTCATGTCCTTATTTCATCCATAAACATCAAACGTCATCAGTGACAGACAGCAGACTATTTTTAAAACAATGGAACATAAATGCTATGTTTTATGATTAGACAGTAACTTTAATGAACAGCAGCCCTCGCTTGTGACATCAGTGAGACTGAGTGTCCCCCCGTCTCTGTACCCTCGCCGGTACGAGGCTGACCTTGTGAGCCTATTGGGGCGGAATGATAGCCCTCTGATTGCCTA